GATACGATAATCTAGCTCAGTGTGGTAGATAACAACATTATCATGCACGTTTTCAGCTGAAGAAATTGAGTTTCAGAGAAGTAAGATAACTTTGAGGCCACACAGCACATAGTGACAAAACTTTCAGGGAAGTCAATACTTTTAACCACTAAAATCATATTAGTTAAAGCCATGAGGGTGAATAAGATCTCTCCTAGAGGGTATAAAAGCTGATATACAAATGTATTCGTTTGCTACTGTGTTGTAACACATTGTCACAAACTTAAGTGGCTTATAACAATACCCACTTACTGTCTCACACTTCTGTAAGTCAGAAGTTCATGTGGGCTCAACTGGGTGCTTTGCTTAGGGTCTCTTAGGCCAAAATCAAGGTCCCAGCCTGACTGGGATTTTATTTGGAGGCTCTGAGGAAGAATACTTCCAAGCTTATTCAAGTTGTTGGCAAAATTCAGTTCCTCCTGGTTGTAGGAATGACGTCTCCATTTTCTTGGTGGTTCTTGGCTGGGGATTGTGCTCAGCTTCCAGAGGCCACTTTCAGGTCCCTGTGTTATGGCCCATCTTCATCTGAGCAGGGGCAACCTGCTCATATCAAATCTTTCTCCTTCTTCAGATCTATCTGACTTTGTCTTGTGCCACTAGCCTGAGAAAATGCTCTGCTTTTAAAGGACTCGTGTGATTAATTTAGGCCCACCTGGATCATCTGCCTATTTTAAAGTCAACTGATTAATAATCTTAATTCCATCTGCAAAATCCTTTTTTGCCAAGTAACTTAAGGTAATCATGGGATTAACACCAGGGGCAAAGGTTGTGGGAGCTGTCTTAGAATTAGCCTCCCATAAGCTGACATGTGAATAGCCAACAGGCCCATGAAAATATATGTTCAAAATCATTAGTCACAAGGAAGAGACAAACTAAAACTGTAAGCAGGAACCAGTCTATACCTCATAGAAGGATTAAAATTTTTTTTTAATGATGATACTAAATATTGACAAGCCTGTGCAAGACCTAGAACACTTATGCTTTTCTGGAAGGAATGTATAATTTAATTACTCTGGAGAATATTTTGGCAATTTCTAGAAAGTTAGATATATAATTACCGTATGTCCAGCAAATTCACTGCTTGGCATTTAACCAAGAAAATGAAAACTGTATTTACAAAATTTTCATGGAAGCTTTATTCATCACTGACAAAAACTGGAAATAATCCAAATTTATATCTACAGGTGAATTGATAAACTCAGTGTGACATATCCACACAATGGAGTTCTCAGCAATATAAAGGAATAAACTACTGATAAATACAGCCACATGGATGACTCTTAAAAGTATTATGCTTAACCAAAGAAGCTAGACACAAAAGAGTATGATGTACTGTATGACTACATTTATATGACATTTTTGAATAGGCAAAATTAATCTCTAGTGAGAGACCTCAGATCAGTGGTTACCCTAGGTGGGGGATGGTGAGATTAACTAGTCAGAAGCAGAAGAGAACTTCCTAGGGAGTTAGAAATATTCTATATTTTGGGAAGATCATAGTTATATCAAAACATTTTGGATTTCACATGTGTAATGTATTGTTTTTATTTTATGAATGTTATACTTAACAAAGTTAATTCAAATATATGCTGTGTACATTCTTAATTAAAAAAAGGATGTTTTGTCTTCTTATATTGTTTAACACCATTCTGAAATTTAGAGTATATAAAATTAGAGATAAAATATAGTGTAACTTGGGGAAAAGGAAATCCCAGGGCAAAATACCTCTAAAACTGAATTTAGTCAAAGGGAGAAATAAAGTTTAAAATCCTTTTATTGCTTACAAACTGTGGTCCAGGGCCATTTCTCTTTCCTGCTCTAGCAGAAGCAAGCCAGACCTCCCCTGACCTCTCAGGTTCAGATAAGCAGTTGCCCAGGTTTACCCACTGATATGGAGATAACTACCTTTCTCCACCCCTGAGGAACACCTGTTGATATGGAGATGCACTAAAGCCAGGTGAGATATTCTGGAAATATTATAAGTTTACCCACAATAGATAAGCTGTAAGTATTTGAAAGGGAGAAACAAGTTGTCTTAGTTTGGGTTGTTGTAGTTTAAACAACAAGTAGTTTTTTGACACAGTTCTGGAGGCTGCGAAGTCCAAGATCAAGGGTATCAGCATATTTTGTTCTTGGTAAGGGCCCTCTTGGTTTGCAGGTATCTGTCTTCTTGCTGTGTCCTCACATGGTGGGGAGCTCTGGTCTCTTTCTCTTCTTGTAAGGACACTAATCCCATGATGGGGACTCCACCCTCATGACCTCATCTAATCCTAATTATCCCCCAAGGGTCCACCTCCTACTACAATCCTATTGGGAGTTAGAGCTTTGGGGGGACACAAATGTGCAGTCCATGGCACAAGTATAACAGTACTTGCAGATAAAATCATATTTTCTGGCAAGTCAAGGTAACCTGATAAAACAACACTGGGATTACTCAGAAACCTAAGTACAGTGGTTGAATATAAGACAAACATACAACCTAGAAAATATGAACAAATGGTTCATTCCTAATAGAATAAAATATGAAAACAAAAATAGGAAATTTGTATGATCAATCATTATAAGATAAAAAGAAGACTTAAATAAATGGGGTGGAAAGACAAAACATTAAAAATATATTCACTTATAAATGACTTTCTAGATTTCATGTAGTTCCAACAAAATCTCCAAAAGAAAATAGCTAAGAAAATTTTGAAAAAGGTAAAAAGGGGAGACTGGAACTACTAGAGTTAAAATATACCTTAAAGCTATAATAATCGAATCCATCTGATTATACTAATAGAATAGAAAAAATGAACAACAGATACTTGAACAGAATAGTTAGCCCAGAAACAGATATTATTATAAAATAATTATATGTGCATGACAAAGATGGTATTACATTACACATCAGGGTGGAGGAAAAAGATTATTCAGTAAATGGTGTTTGTATAACAAAATATTAATTTAGGTTCTCATTCTATGGAATGTGCCAAAATAAATTCCAGAATGTAACTAAAATAAAAACTTTATATAAATATAAATGAAGGTTAATATTTATTATCTAAGGCATTGGAATATAATGCAATAGTAAAAAGCAGCAAATTTGCCTAAGTAAACTTTCCCTCAGAACAAAGCACCATGAAGACAGAGACCCTAGAATTCTGACTCACCACTGACCTCTGAGTTGGGCAGGAGATCTGGCACATGGTATGTGCTCTAATAAAGCGTTGTTATTTTTTGTAAACGCAGTACCACTATCATTTATTTAAATGATAAGTTGGGAAAAATATTTGCCATATTTATGAAATAGGATTAATATCTTTCTCTTATTTAAAAGCTCATGCAAATGATAAGAAACTTCATTAAGACCCATTAGATGGACAAATGTATGAAAAAGGCATTCACAATAGAGGGAATAGAAAGATTAATTAATTTATTTCAAAAAAGATTGAAAATTAATAACAAAGAATTCGCATTTTCACAGACCCAGAACAAATAACCCTAAAATTTGTATGGCACCACAAAAGACCCCAAAGAACCAAAACAATCTTGAGAAAGAAGATCAGAGCCGGAGGTATCACACTCCCTGATTTCAAACTATACTACAAAGCTATAATAATCAAAGTGGTAGGATCCTGGCACAAAACTAGGCACATGGATCAGTGGAACAGAATAGAGAGCCCAGACATAAACCCACACTTATATCATCAATTAATCTAAATCAAATGAGATAAGAATATCCAAGGAGTGGTAGTGGTGGGGGGAAGACAGTCTCTTCAAAAATCACGTTGGGAAAAACTAGACAGCTACATCGAGAATGAAACTGCACCATTTTCTTATACCATACACACAAATAAACTTGAAGTAGATTAGAGACCTAAATGTAAGACCTGAAATCATAAAACTCTTAAAAGAAAACTTTGTTGAAAACACATGGACATCAGTCTTATCAACTTTTTTCTGGATATGTCTCCCCAGGCAAGGGAACAAAAGCAGAAACAAACAAGTGGGACTAAATCAAATTGAAAAGCTTCTGAACAGTGAAGGAAACCATCAACAAAATGACACAACCAACTAATGGGAGATTATATTTGCAAATGATTTATCTAACAATGGGCTAATATCCAAAATATATAAAGAACTCCTACAACTCAACACCAAAAATGCAAATGGGCAGAAGACCTGAAGAGACATTTTCCCAAAGAAGATGACAGATGGCCGACAGACACAGGAAAAGACAGTCAACATTACTAATCAACAGGGAATGCAAATCAAAACCACATTGGGATATCACCTCACACCACTCAGAATGACTAGTAACAAAAAAGACAAGAAATAACAAATGTTCTCGAGAATGAGGAGAAAAGGAACCTCCATGTACTGTTGGAATGTAGATTGGTGCAGCCACTATGGAAACAGTATGGACGTTCTTCAAAAAATTAAAAGTAGAAATACCATATGACCTACTAATATGACCTTCTGAGTATTTACCAGAAGCAGACAAAAATACTAATTTGAAAAGATACATGCATCCCTATGTTTATTACAGAATTATTTACAATAGCCAAGATATGGAAGCAACCTAAGTGTCCATCACTGTATCAATAGATTTTTAACAATACGGTATAAATATACAATAGAATATTACTCAGCCATAGAAAATAGTGAAATCTTGCCATTTGCAACAACATGGGTGGACATAGAGGGTATTATACTAAATGAAATAAATTAGAAAAGACAAATGCCATCTAATTTCACTTACATATGGAATCTCAAAAACAAAACAAACAAAAAAGAAATAGATTCCTAAACAGAGAATAGTCTGGTGGTTGCCAGAGGGGAGTGGGTAGAGGATGGATAAAGAGGTACAAGCTTCAATTTTAAAACAAATAAGGCACAGGATAAAAAGTACAGCATAGGTAATGTACTCCATAATATTGTAATAACTTCGTATGGTGACAGGTGGGAACTACACTTACCAGTGGTGAGCATTTCCATAACGTATATAATCGTCTCATCACTATGTTGTACACCTGAAATATAATATTGTATGTCAATTATACTTCATTAAATAAAGAATTGCATGTTATCTATCAAATTACAAGATAAAAAAATAAGAATATCCAATGCTGGTTTGACTGTAAGTGTAATAGGTCATCTCATATAGTTTGTGGGCAGTTAATACAAACTTTTTTAGGAGAGTAATTTTGAACTGCAGAGCCACAGATCTCAAAATATTTACTACTTTTGCCCCTATAATTACTTTTCATAGAATGTACCTTCAGGAAATCATCTGCTGCAAAGAAAAAATATTGTAAAAATTTCCATCATAGGATTAAATGGGGCATTGAAAATTTGGCAACTCCATGTCCAACAATAGGAAAATGGATTTAAAATTATGTATAGCCGCACCACGGAGTATACAGCCATTTAAATGATTTCTACAAAGATTTTAAAATTCTATTGGGGAAATAAGTGTTTTAGAAGATACTGTGAGGAGACAAATTATTTTGTGAGCGCCAACAAAATATGCATAGAAAAATATAATAATAATAGCGTAAGTATTAGCCTTTAGTAAAGGGGCAGGCACTCTCCTCATTTTAAGGAATTATATCATTTACCTTCATGGGAGGCCTATGAAACATATGTATTTTTTATTTGTCCCATTGAGCAGGTAAAGACACTGCAACACGAAGGACTGAGCGACTTGTCCAAAATCTCTGAGGTAAGAAGTGGGGATATGACAGCAGCGGGCTCCTGCATCCATACTTTGAATCATTGCACTAAAGTGTTCTTTTTTGTTTGTTAAACTATAACAATATATTTTCAGCAGTTTTATAGGTTTGGGATTCATTGTTCTCACATGCTTTTCCATAATTCCCTAAGTTTCTACAATTCCGTGACTTGAATCTTTATAAATGAACTTAGTAAAAAGAGTAAAACAAAAAAACCCAAAAAACCCAAGTCTACTTGATTTGCTGCAGCCTGTGTCTGGGGGTTATTTGCGCCCCCCTATTTCCAGTTCTCTCTGCCCAGATGCCGGGGCAGCCCGGGTCGTCCGGGTTCCACCCACAGTACCCGGCTCCCGGTTCTTGAAGCACGTGCTCTTCTCCCTGCGCCTGCGTGGTGGCCTCCAGCTCCGGGGTGCAGCCGCTGAACTTCCAAAGGCCTCAGGGCTCGGGTCTTCGGGACCCTCCCGGGGCCGCCCCACGGGCAGCGCAGGCCTCCCGGGGCCGCGCGTTCCAGCGTCAGGGGTTGGACCAGGCCCGGCGCTCACTGGGAGCGCAGCGACCTTCCCCGGAGAGGGGCGCCCTTGGGGACCCCCCCCGGGGCTAGCGCGGCGGGGGTCGCTTCCTGCCCCCGGGGTCGGAGAGGCCGAGAGGCCGCCGGGCCTGGGGGTTCGGGCCCGGAGCGGTGCCCCTGGGGGTCGCGCGCGGAGCCTCGGAGGCCCCAGCCCGCCACCCGTCCTCCATCAGTTTACGACACTTGCTGAAAACCATGGTTGTTTCGGGATGACTGAGTCCCGACCCCGGAGAAAACCGAGTGTTAATCGAAGAGGGCTCGGCTGGGGCAAAATCCGCCGCTCGCGTCCTGCGGGGAGTGACCGCGGGCTGAGTGTATCTTAAACACATTATGTCCTTGAGAATTAATCGTCTCTCTGGTCGGGAGCAGGGGTGGGAGGAATGCTCGTGGGAACCAAAGCCCCACTTTCGGGGAGCTGGAGGAAGGGTCGCCCCAAAGGAGCGCGGCGCTCGCCGGTCCGGAGAAGCCGCCAGGATTCCCGAGTCGCTGGGGCGAGCATCCGACTGGAGCCTGTCTCGCTCGTGAGATGTTCGCACGCAGCGCACAGCCCGGCAGCGGGCTCCCCTGCTTGGAGCGAGCCCCTCATTTCCCCGGTCCGCTCGGGGGGCCAGGTGATGAAGCCCCCCACCCGCTCGCTTCCTTGCGGGGTTAATCGAAGGGCGCGTAGAGAGCCTGGGAAAAAAAAAATTTCAAGTGCAAGTGGGTACCTTGCATGTTTTGACGTTTGAAAACCCGACTCCGGTGAATCATTGAATCATATATTACAAGTTTCAGTGTCTAATGTAGTTTGGGAAACGGCGGATTAGTGGTGTTTGTAAAAATCCTCGCACCGCGCACCCCAGGTTTGCGCGCCGATGCAGAAAGCTGGGCCGCGCGGGGGTGGGGAGGGTCTCCAGACCGAGGCGCTGCGCTCGGGGCTTCTGCCCAGTTTCCTGCCTCGGAGTCGCCGAGTCCGCCCCAGCTCAGAGCAGTTTGTGTAATTTAGAAACCCGATAGGAGGCAGCAGCTGATCTCCCACCACCCTAAAAATAATACGCTCCGGCGCTCTGCGTGCTTCGGCTAGGGGAGGAAAACTACCTTCGGAGTGAGTGAGTCCGTGTCTTTTACGTACATATCATTAAAAATTTTTAAGAATAACTGTAAGCTGTCGATTTTGAGCTAACCTTTAGGCGACCAAAAGGCGCCGGTGCGTTTTGCCTTCACAGTTGCTATTTCTAGGATCAAGGCACCCGGCCCCAGCCGAAGAGAGGGCGTGGGGATCAGGTTTCCAGCTTTACTTAGAAAAACTCTGCCGGCTCCTACTTAAACCAACTGGAAATAGTGCAAGGAGTTATTCCTAATATTTTTTCTTTCTTAGACATTTCTTATATTGTTCATGAAGTAGCTTTCCATCTGCTTAATTTTTGTTACTCTTTACTCTTCAGGAGTCCTGCGTCCTGGTTTGAAATATATGCTTAAGACAGTGTAGCAAGCCCGTGTTTTGAAGGTTGCCCAAGAGCACGAGTAGGTGTTTGAAGCTACGGCAAGCGATTGCCCAAGGTATTTATTTTTTGCTTGTTTGCTCTGTTTGGGATTAAAAAAAAATCCCATTGAAGCGCCTGTATAAGGGATTTTATCTGCTGAGTAGTTCCCACATTTCCTTTACTTTGTGATAGACCTTCATTTGGTGTATTCAGATCAGGCACTAAATCAGCAATCAGTGATCATTTTTTGGCAAGTGATTTTCCTACTTGGGTCTGGCTTTCACAGGTATATAGGCAGACAGACATCCTTTAATTCATATTTATGAACCATCGACTGAATAATTCAAAGAAGTTATTGCATTTGTTAAGTGATCTAATCCTGAAAAAAGACCCTAGATAATGGTAAAGTCCTAAAATCTTAAAAATGTCATATTTCTGTCGCATAACATAATATAGTTAATATCTGAATAACTAAACAATAAGTTATTTTTGTATGTAAGAATGAAAGCATTATGTTGCTTCTAGCATGTTTTCTTCAGGTAGTTCCAGAATGTTAAGTTCTCTAATGGAGGTTGTTGTTCCATTAAGACTGACACTTTGTGCTAGATGAACAGGAAAGAGTGCCAGTTTTTATTTACTTCATATTCATCAGCTAAACCCAAAGTTCATAGCTCCCACGGGTGGGGAACTTCATACAATACATATTAAAGAATAGGAATACTAAGGGTAGTATTGTTACCATGAGATCATAAGTTGGTCATCAAGGACTACTTCCTTTTTATGTTTTCTGCCCTGCAGACCGTCCCTGTAATCAAAGTTTCACTTTTGACACTTGTCTTTAAAATTCATTCAGTCAAGTTCACCAGTGCTATAGACTGTCATAAGCACTTGAACGTCTTTCAGTGGGTTTATGCTTGTGGGGAGAAAAATGTTATGTCTTCCTATCTGGTCTTCCTTCTCTCTCCCTTCTCCTTGATGCTTGGGCCCCTATGAGGGCGTAGCTGAACTAGACGGCTCCAGGGGTGGGTGGGAAGGGTGTCACGTGACAAAGTTCAGCCAGCAGGAGCAGCAATTTATCCTGCTCCCTAACTTAAGCTGGGTTCTGGGAGGGAAACCCTAATTGCTAATTGGGATTTAACAATTAGTTAAAAATCCTGATTGAATGAAATGCCTTTGGTAAACACAGTGTGATCATCCGCGTACCTACAAGTTTACTCCTTCCCTCCTGGTGTCTCTTGAGTGCTAATATGCACTGGCTGTTAGAATGAGCCTCATGCATACCGTATGTTGGAGCAGGAGGCTAAGAGGCAAGGGGAAGAGGATGCAGGAGGCAGAAGCAAAAGCAAAAGGACAGAGGTGGTGAGAGGTGGTGAGCAGAACAGGTTAGGGGCCAGGGGGACATACTAGGTTAGCGATTCAGGTAGAATAAAGAATCTGTTCTACAGTTTGCCAATCTGAAATAATTGCCTGCCTTAGTGAGCTTATGTCATTGTCTGTTTCCCTGCCTGGTAGCACATAACCTTTACATTCTACCAAGAACAACTGGGATTAGTGTCGACTGATTTCTATGGTCTAAGACCCCCAGAGACTGTTTCTGTCATGTGCATTACTGGATTCCTAGTGCCTAGAACATGGTCAACATGAGGAAGTATTTTTACAGTTACTTGATGGCCTAGAATTCCAGACATCAGGTACATGGCTGAAAATGTTCTTTGGCTTTTTCAGGTTGTACTTCTCTGATATTTTCTTTCTACAGTTAACACATTCACCCAAACGTTAACTTAATTGATAGGTTTCAGGACTGATTTAAATATCACGTAGGCAATGCTTACAGTTAATGAAGTCTGTGTTTTGCAAATTCAGATTATACTTCAGCATCTGGCTCAGTGATAATTACCAAGTGTCAAGATTTATAAATGTGGCCAATTGGAATATTATAATTTTGGATAAAATTATTAAAACTAACTAAAGTAAATATTATTTCCTGGTTCATTCTAGGAAACAATTTATACATATCTTTCAACTAAGAGTGGGCTTAAAGTTTCCTTTTATCATTTCTACTAAATAAAGGAAATAGGCTTAGAAATTCACTACTAGCTGATATTTAAAATTTTGTTTTTTCCTATTTTTTCTATTTTTATTGAGAAATAATTGACATATATCACTGTATAAGTTTAAGATGTATTGGCATAATGGCTTGATTTACATATATTGTGAAATGATTACCATCCGTCACCTCATGTAGATACAATGTATGATACAAAACTTCCATTTTACTCTTATTAAAAAAAAAATCTCTCAAGTCCTTTTTAAGTCTGTTATCCAGCTAAGAACCTTAATAGTTGCTAAAGATTTGCCAAGTATATAACCTCATTTTGAGATTTTTAATGAGGAAAGGTCTTGACTTTTAGGGAGCATATCAGTGAGTTATGAAAGAAAGGGCTTACAAGAAATAATATGAGAGGAATTCCTTATAAGCATTTACAGACTGTAAACATACAGGTTTTTAAACTCACTATCCTATTCATATAATGCTTTATAAAACTTCTGCTTGAAATTTGGTTACTCCATTAGTTCACCCCCTTGTTGCCAGTCTGTTCTGTGTAACACTCTGTTTTTTTCCTAGGGTAAAAGTATTGTTTGTGACCATTGCTAAATCAGTTATCAATGAAAGGGAAGAGAGAAAAGGTACTACTTTATTCAAATGTTTCCAAACTTTTAATAACCTAACTCAGAATCCAATGTGATATAAATATGGAAAAGAAACAAAGTCCATTGAGGTTAAAATCTTAAACTGCTACTTACTTTAATAAGAATAGATATTTTCTTTAAAAAATTAGGTTCAAGGCTGGATGATGGAGTGGGAAGAACAATTTATAGTCAGATACGTGGTGTGGCTCTCCCTTACTTTGCTGGTTGGCAAATTACAGTATTGCTTCCATAAAATACAAATAACTCCACCAACATTGCCTGGTTCTTCTGAAGACAACATAATGTATTCAAAGTTTCCAGAACTGAGTAGGTATTAAATAAATAGTAAGCGATATATTTTTTAAAAAGTCTTCATAATGCTAAACCTCTCACTGGAATTTCACAGTAGTATTTTGAGGGAGGAAACCCTTGCTCCTGTATCATCTTTTTCAGTCCAGCAATGAGAGGAACTCATTTACAGTGTGAGTCAGAGTGTGTCCTTCTCTGACCAAAACCCCCCAATGGATCCATTTCACTCAAGTAGAAGCCAAATTCCCAACAATAGGTGACAAAATCTTGTGTTTCCTCTCTAAGTTTGTCTACTTCTGCTCTAATGGAATACAGGTTTCCAGTTAAAAGATATCCTTTGTTTCAAAATTGATTAAGATGCATTTCATGTTAAGAGTAGTCTCTCACTATGGGATCAATATAGTTTCATTAAATTGTCACTTGAATTGTATTTAATTTATCTGAAGCTCTTGATTTTAATAGTCTTCAGAGAAAGGCTGATGGCTGTTTACAGCCACATTGGTCTCTGTGTATTAGTATTTCTTCCAGCTAATGAAGTGTTGCAGTAAATGTGTCCAGCCGAAGTTGTTGGTTAATGCACTTTCAGTGAATGAACATAGAAAAACGTGATATTACACCATTTTGTCTTTTTGATCAGTAGTTTCGTTTTTTCTCTTCCTCTTTTCTTGATAAATCACTATTTTTCTCTGAAATCATTTTACTCAAACATATGCTCCTTTGAGGTGCTGCTGTTCGTAGATATTATGTATTTTCCAAATGAAAGTGTTTTTCTCTGAAAAAAGTATTGAAAGAAAAATTATAGGATATATAAGGCCTTTATATGAAATTCTCAAATGGTATAGCATTTCCTATCTACTTTAATACAAAAATAAAGGGGGTTGATTTTATGATATAACCCCTTCTTTAAGGCTGTAATTTTATGAAAGGGAACTTCCATGATAAGAGCTAATTTCTCTTTTCTCTCCCTTTCAGAATAAGCCATCTAAGAAGAAATGAGCCTTTCGTTCTGTGGTAACAACATTTCATCGTATAATATCTATGATGGTGTATTGCAAAATCCCTGCTTTGTAGATGCCCTCAACCTGGTCCCTCATGTGTTCCTGTTGTTTATCACTTTTCCAATATTGTTTATTGGTAAGTAGTCTATTGTTTTATATTACATTACTTAATATTGATGAAAAGGTCTTATTAATGGCTGAGATTTGGTATAATATTGACAATTTCTCCAACATGTAACCTGATATATAAGTCTGTGAGGAAAGAACAAGCATTTTGTGTTTTCTAATTACTTATATTTTTGGCATATGATATTTTATAAGTAAAACAGAAATCACATGTCTTCTTAGAAATGGACTTCAAGTAGCAGCAGCAGTTTATTATTTTTTTGGAAAAAAGGAAAGAATGAAATGAGATAGATTTACAGCACTTGTTAGGCACTTGCTTTATGTGGGTGAAGAGAGGGAAAATGGGTAAAACACAGTACACGCCTGGGACAGTCACTGTAATTGTCCAGTGAAACAGATGTGTCAAAGTCAAAATGACTATACCACATTGTAAGCCCATATAAGATATAGGAACAGATTGTCCTGGGCATCAATCCGCTAGAACAATTAGTTCTCCTAGGACTGGTGGGGAAGACTATGTAGTGAGTGATGTCTCTGGGGACTTAAGGACGCAGAGTGTGCAAGTTAGAGTAGGAGTGCTCAGGGGTGTTTCAGGTAGGAAGGGTCCATGTGCAAACTATTTGGAAAAAGGTGAAAGTACACTTTCCCCTATTATTTTACAGTTTCTATATACACAAAATTCAACTACTTAGAGCAATTATACCCAACTGTAACTTCCCCCAAACAACCGAAATAGACCTTTTCACTTAAAAAAATTATAGAATGCTTGCACATATAGAAATGACAGACTAATATAATATAATAAACATCCATTGAACCTCCCACCACTTATGTTAAGAAATCTAACAATAAGAATATAAGTGGATCCCTCTGTGCACTATTTCTCGATCTTATTAATCTTCCCACAGCCTCTGTTCCTATGTCTTCAAGAGATAACTGCTATTTTGAATTTGGTATTTAATATTCCCATATATGGTTTTGATCATAAAAATAAATGCAAAAGCTATGAGACTGATTTTTCTTAAGTTGGCATAATTTAGTATCTGTTTTAAAAGAAAGTTTAAAAATAATTTCTATATTTTTATTTCTTCATTTAACAAGTATTAATTGAGAGACTGCTATGTGCCTAGTATTTTACCAGTAATCAAAGAATTTCTGTTATAGGACATATGTCATACCAAGGCCAGAATGACTCTTGGTACATAGCTATTCATGTTAAGCAAATGTACAGACATTAAATACATTGGGACCAGTGTGGCCATATATAGAAATACTATTGTTTATGTGGTATAATTTGTAGGACATTAAGAATATCTTTTGGCCAAAAATAGAACATCCATTTTCTTATTGCACCTCCACAATTAATAATTCATTTTTGACATCCAGTTAACTTCTTGAGAGCAATTACTGTGACAGTCCTTTTTTGCATCTCTGGCATCAAACACAGGCTGGCAAAAGGGTATGTGAATTAAATAGTGACTGAACATTGTCAAAGGGAAATAGTAAAAAAAATATAGAATATTCATCTGTAACATTCATTGGCTATTGACTTAGTGAGAAATCATGAACAAGTCTCAAAGAAGTATCGGGTTTAAGGAAAATAATAATATTGCAAAAAAGACTTACTGAGCTTTCCTGCAGTCCTTACAGCATAAATTCTAGTAGAACATGTTAAATGTAACTAATCTTCCAATAATGAAATCCATTTGGGAACAACTAAGAGACATGACTCAGTTTTATTTTTAAAAAATGCTTTTGTCCCTACGGACATTCCTTCTTGCACCATTTCAAGCACAGTCTCTCATTAATTCTTGAAGAATGTGGGGCTTCTCCACAATCAAACAATTTGAGAAAATATCACCACCACTGTTGAATAATGCTGGCCCATTCATAGGTTATCATTTTTTTCACATGATATGCATATGATTAAGAGTTGACTCAACTAATGAGTCCTATATTTAAACACCAAATATGGCTTTTTTTTTAGTCCCACCACACATCCCGTGTTTTGGAATATTTTAGATACTAGATCGCCTTTATTAACATCACCATTAATTTGGCTGCCTTTTGAATGAATCAGAGAGTTCTCAGTAAGAGCTTTGATTAGCATGAAATACACATGTCACCCAGAGTTGGTGCTATTTCTGAGCAATAC